CTTTGGCTCCCCCTGGCGGGGGGCAGCGGGAGCGGGCACCGCCCCGCAGAGCTCCGGCCCCAGCCCGCTCTGTGCCGGAGCTGCAGGGCGAGCTCCGCGGGGTGAAGGTTCTAGTTCTCCTCTCCAAAGCGCCAATAAACATGAGAGAGCGACGCGGAGAGGGGAAGCTCCAAACACACTTTGCAATTTTTGAAGAGCACGAGTCAAAACTTGCAAGCGACTGTACAGACACAGGGTGACAGAAACCCGCCACCACCATTTGCTTACGCTTTGGGCAGCCCTCGCCGAGAGGAAATCAGACGTGATGGGTTTCTGGTTGGTGGTTTGTTGGGCTTTTTTTTTTTTCTTTCCCTCTCTCAATCTTTCTCTGGTTAGAAGCTGTAGATAAAAATTCACACAGACAGAGATGTCACCAAAAACTTCCAAGTACTACCTCTTCCAGATGGAAAGGCCAGCAGGGAATCCCATTCCCAGGACCAATGAGAAGTGACAGAGTTCACTGCTCCATATGGGAGAAAAATAATCCACGTGCACAACTGACATCCAAAATGGCTCAACATAATTTATTTTTTATGTTAAAATGTACAGAGTTCTTTTGAAAGTACTTGCTAGAAAGGGGAAAAAAAAGTGATATTACATACAAGGAGAGGAAGGGAGACCATCCAGCCAGGAGCGCATGACATGGAGAATTACAAAGGCATCTAGGCACCCCTTCCCCTTAGCTTACAAGTCACCATGAACAAAGTACAAAGAGGTTACAAAACAGGAAAAGCAAATATAAACAGACAGGAATAGACTCAGCTTCATTTGTACATGCGGCTTTTAGAGGCATCTGGAGCTCCTATTCACACACTCTAGAGATCTCTTTAAAGAGAATTTTTATCTTTCTTAAAATAGTTTTTAATATTCTACAACAAAGATAAAAAATTTTAAAGATGGAATGAAATGAAAAAGCTCTTATTTTTAAAAGGCATCAAAGTCACTAACAGTGAGATTATTTTAATTTCTTTTAGAAGATTACCCAAGTTATCTTGCTAAAAATACATATTTTTTTTTTTTTAAACAGAAGTGAAAAAATGGTAGGTACCAATATTACTGCGTTGGATAATTTCTTTTTATATATAGAAAAGAACATTTTTTTTCTACAATAGTTCTACAGTCACAAAGGCTTGTGGAAAAGGGAGCTGCCCAATTGATAAAAAAAAACAACATACAAAACCAAACCAAACATAACAGCAAACAAACTAAATTCATGGCCCTCATTTCAACAGCTTCTCCTCCTGTCTCGGACTCCCCCCACCCTCTGCCCACCCCCCAGCCCAGCAATCAGGAAGCAGTGACACAGCTGAAGATCTAGGAAGGAGAGGGCAGCACAGTGCGCTTTCTACAGGGGTTACTTGGAACTGGAATAGTATATACAGAGAAATGGGGTCCTACGTAGCCTTGTACATGCTCAAAACTCAACAGAAATAAAAAGTGGAAGTCCTTTGAATTCTGCCTTTTACGGTTAGCAATTACTGGAGGAAAGTCCATTTTAGTGCATCTGAAGAACCCCCAACTTTCTTTTAGACTCTTTTGGTTTAAAAAGAAATTAGTCTTATTAATGCGCCTGTATTTCTACTTCACATACAATAAAAAAAGAACTTTACATTAAAGGGTGTCCCTTTTTGTATTGGGTGACATGCCAGCAGTGTAGTCAAAAAGAATGTAAATTGGATTATGCGGTAATAAACAGCAAAATCCTGCCTCCTGCGTCCTGCTATGGTATTTGGACTGTTTCACTCCTGTAAAACAGGCCGATTCCCTTCTTTTCCCACACTAGGAAAGAAGTGTGGCTATTCCTATAAAACGGGTCTCAAACATAGTGGGAGAATCAGGGAAAACATCACTGACTGCCCTAGAGAGTGGCACACTCAGCAACTTCCTACCCCATACGAGGAAGGGAAGAGTGACAAGGACACCACAGGGCTCTCATCCAGTCACTTAAAACACATCCTTTATCTTCCAAGAACACCTAAGTAAGGAGATTAAGAGGCAGACCACTGGAAACAGCTGCTTTTCAGCTCAGCCTGACTCAAAAGACTCAGAGCCAAGACCCTCAGCATTTCCAAGTACATACTAATGCAGAGTTCGGGATCTTAAGAGTTGTGGCAGACTAGCATGTCACCAGAAGAGCCCGCAACCATTTCCTTGTCCCAGCAGACCATTAACCACCCTGTCCTCCTCACGACTGCCCAAGGGATACAAACAGCTCTCTCTGGAGATGCTTCCAGTAGCTCAGCGACAGAGCGCGTGTGCAGGCACGCACGCGTGGGTGCACATGCATGTCTGGGTGGTGAACGGGATCATTTTAGTTACATAATACTTTCAGCATGAGACATACAATTTCAATTAACTCATCTACAAAAAACACCAATGTGAAAAATTTATTGTTTACACGTAACTCCAAATTTTACTGAGGGCGAGGGAGTCAGGGAAAATGAAAAATTTTCCCTGACTTGCAGTAATAAAGAGCTTCATTTATTGTGTCCCCTTCCAAGTCTCCCAAATAAGTGCCTCCTGCTAGAAGTAGGAATGCCAGGTGGGGTTTAGAGAGAAGGGTTATTATTCTTTGAGATGTCAAACATTTTGCATGACTGCAGCACTAGAAACTGCATACAGAAGGGCACAGGGAAGGGAGAAGGACGTACATCTGAAAAAAAATTTAGGAAGATGATTTCACTGTTACACATATTCTGTCCACATTGTCAGCAAAGTAAGGCTCTTTTTAAATTATGAAAAGATTTTGTGCAGGTTTTCCCCTCTAAAAAACATCTGTAAATGATTTTAGCTGTAAAATGTTTCAGGATTGTGAAGAAAACAAAAAAAAAAAATCCAAAAAATAAAGACCAGGCTTCCTAAAAAATAAAATAAACCAAAGAAAATCTCTCTAAATCTACAGCAATATTTTAACTGGAAAAAAGTCCATTTTCTCTGGTTCGTCAGTATAAAACGTTCCTTTATTTATATATATTTCAGTTTTTAGGATGCAAGTTCATCTTGCTCATCTTCTCATGTATGGTCCATTGAGAGACTGCTTGGGCACCCCAGCAGCGTTCATGTAGCTGTGATGGGAGGGGCCAGTGTACATCATGTTTCCATGAGGATTTGGCTGCATAGGCTGCTGGGTGTAGGCCTGGCTCCCCATCATTCCCATCTGCATCTGCATAGGATACTGTGCTGTCTGGTTCATGTAGGCAGGGTTACTATGGTAACTGCTGTTCATCATAGGCTGTGTCATCCTGTAGCTGTTCATGGCGTTCAGGGTGTTCATATTCATGGAGTTAACGTTGTAGGGGGCGGTCGGCATTAGGTTGACCCCCATGTTCATACCCCGCTGAACAGCCAGCGTACGGGGACCAGCCTGCATGGCAACTGCGGGCGGGCTGCGGCCGTAGAGCTGCTGCTGGTGTGCAGTCGCAGAGGGCAGTGGTGCTGACTTGGAGCGAATGGAAATATGCCCCTTGACTGGCATTTGCCCCTGCAGCCTCTGCGTGTGCGGAATACCGATGTTGGTAGCAGACATGTTACACTGGAGCAGAGGCGACGTGAGGTTCATGGTGGTGGGCGCCAGGTTTGGTGGAGGTGTCATAGTGGCTTGTGCTTGTGGTGTGCCTGCTAAGGGATGAGAGGGGGCTAGCTGAGCCAGTCCTGTGTTGGACAGAGAGACGCTGGTTGCATAGGAAGTCACAGCAGGAGAATGGCTATAAGGCATGGCATGAGGGTCCATAATGGTGTTCGTGAGCTGCTGCAGCTTGGCTAAACTGAACGTGGCTGATGGTTGCGAATAGCTCCCAGCACCAAAATCCCCTGGAATCCTCTCATAGATACTGATGTTACCAGTGCTTCCTGATTCAGGTATTTCCATGATCATAGGTGCTGGGGTGAAGCTGTTGTTCATGCTACACTGAGACAGTGGAGGTTGCTGCTGGGGTGGAGGTGGGGGCTGTGGCTGCTGTGACTGAGGCTGTTGCTGTTGTGGCTGCGTTGCCGGTTGCTGGTTGCTTGGCGGCCTTTCTACTACGCAGCTCTGAGGCGACTTGATATTGCAGTTTGCTGCAGGCTGGACAGTGTTTTGTTGCATCATGCTGCAACTGCTGCCAATGTTTGCCATTTGCTGAGTGACAACACAACTGTTCTGTGTGAGGCTGCTAGAAGAGGACAGTCCTCCATATGAACAGCTGCTCTGGGAAGAGTTATTTCCACAAATGCTGCCTCCCATAGTGGAGTCATAGCTGCTGGGGTTTTCATAATTCTCTGTAGTGCTCTCAATGCTGCCAAGGTCACTGAAGCCGCTGTCCACCACCTGCTGAGAGTGGTCCGATACTGAAGGCACATCCATCATGGGGCTGGTCTCCATGTTCTGCATAGAGGGTGCGGACAAGGATCCTTGTTCAGGACTTATCTGGGTGTAACTGCTCTCCAGAGCAGGCACATTTGGGCTGCTGACAGAACGTACAGACTGGCTGGGGTGGGACTGGACAGAGGATATTGGACTGTTGTGTTCTGAGGCCTGGCAATCTTCAACCATCGATATCTGAGGATCCTCCTCAGTCTGGGTATAACTCTGCAAAGTCTGACAAGCTGCAAGGGTTTCTTCACAGTCCTGGTAGGCTACATCATGCTCATTGCTTTCCTCCTGCGTCAAGGACTGCACTGCTTGAACAGTTTCAAGGTCTAGTTCACTATGAGGAATCTCTTCCTCCTCTTTTAATTCAATTAACCCTTCTTTATTATTCTGCTCTTCTTCATGATCATCTTCAGACCCAGGGACATGCTCCGAGCCCATCGATGTCTCATTGGAAGCCTGCTCTTCCTCAGAATCCGCCTCTGCTTCATCTTTTTCTTTTGCATCTTCTTTACTGCTTGGTATGCTTGTTTCTAAAAAACATTCTTGCACCTGAGGCTCCTCCTTCACCCCTTCTCTAACAGGCTGTTCCTCTAATTCTTTTTTCTTCAAAGACTCGGGATGACTGTCATCTTCGTCATCAGCATCATGATCTTCATTTTGATTTGTCACTACTGCAACTTCCTCTTCTTCTTCATGGTCATGCTCAGGTTCATCTTGTTCCTGCTGTTCTTCTGATTGCCTTTGCTCTTCTAAAACCCGTGGCTTCTCCTCTATCTCCTCTTCTATCTCAGGTTCTTTTACTTCTGGAACTGGACTACTGTTGCTGTCCACAGGAGAAACTGCTCTTACTTCATTGCTGGCTATATCTTCCTCTTCTCCTTCTCCTACCTCTTCTGCTTCCATATTCACATCTTCCTCCTTCTTTTCCTCAGCAAGAGGCAGCTCTTCTTTCTGCTCAATACTTTCTTCTTTATCTGAAATTTTGGGTTTACGCCCTGGTTTTGAATTAGCTACCACTGAATCAACTTCTTCATCCTGAACTGATGGTGGCACCTTTTCCCGGTTCAGTTTAAAACCTGGTTTTCGACCAGGTCTTTTCTTCCAGTGGACTGGTTTTCGGCTTTTTCCTTTTGGCCAGCCCTTTTTCTTTTTCATGGGTGTAGAAGTATCTGGCTCAAGTGAAGAATCCTTTGCTTCACATTTTCTCAGCATAGATAATGGTTTCAAAGTTGGGTTACCTGAAAACACAAATTAAAAGATACTGTTCAAACATTTTTGTTTGACCTGAGCGTTCAAGGAAGCTTTCCCAAGCATTCCCATGTTTATCAACTTTAGGTATCAATAACTAGCTTAGAGATTTATTGTGAAGGGTAACAAGAAGGATCAAGGTCTGCTCATTAGCAATCACACTGCACATTACATTTTCAAAGAACACCAATGCTTTCAAGATTTTGCATGGTCAAAGCTCTGAGCCTTTAATACACAATTCAAATTAAACACTAGGGTATAAGGATAAAGTCCTGGAAAGACTCACCACCGCTTACAAATTTTATTTATACATTATACATGTTCTCAGATGAAAATGTTCCAGTTTAGGGCAACACATGAAGTTGCAATAACAGCATGTTTCCATTTAGATCTGCATTTCGTGCATCTGCTGAAGAAAGGAAATATTTTAACTTTTTTTCCTGGCTTATGCTTTTAAATGCCAGCAGAAATACATAAATGATTGAATTTGGCCAGATTTTTTTTTTTTAAATGAGGAATCATTAAAAGGAAGCTGAACTTCTCTCTCATCTGACTTTTATTTGATGAAGCAAGTTTTTGCATTTTAGCGACTTCCCAAACACTAGAAAAGGTTCAGAGCTTATACAGCCAGAGAGGAATGTGGTCATTTACTGAGAACTTACTGAATACTGTAAGGCATTCCCTGAATTAATTTCCTTTTGAACCTGTCAAGATAGCCAGTGACATTTTACACAACTGACAGTAAACTACTACAACATTTAATCATTGACACTAATTGATATTCAGTTTATCGTCCAAATTTCTGTCTTCAGAGACAGAATTTCCTTAATCTGCTTTTGTATTCATTTTATTTGCTAGGCAGAAAATCTCTCTTACCAAATAACACCGAAGTAATTTGTAAATTCATCAAATCACTTTTTTGCTTTCTTTGAACATATCATTATAGAACATTTGATCCAGTGTCTTAATCAGCGCACAACTGTTCTCTGAACTATTCTAATTTATCAATACTCTTAGTAAGTGCAAATAACTGAGTCAAGACGGTTGTAGTAGTTTCACTAAAGGGAGCCAAATAAAGGAAAGACAGAATGCCTGTTCTTGTATTTAAGGATCATCTGAATCTCTTTGGCTTTCAGCTAGAAAACCATGCTAATTACTGGACATGACCTTCAAATATTGTCTCACAGACCTGGTCAGTGAATTAGGCTTTACTTGATTTACCAAATCGCCTCTTCTGTCAGCTGCTAGTTTTTCTTCTGTTTTTTTTGCTGCTATTTAGCAGTACAGCCAGACACAAGATCTAGACCGCTCTCCCCTAGAATAGGGTAGTTCTGTTGGAAGACACCTACAACGATCAACTAGTCCAATTGCCTTGCACCCCACTAATAACAAAGCTGCTTAATTATCCCTTTTTTGCAGCTTGATTTAATTAATACGCAGTAGCTTGATTCTGTAACACTTCAGCTTAAGCAAATGGTTTAGATTAAGTCAAATACCTCTCAAAGCACTAAGCAGGTAACACCAATTACCCTTATCAACCAATTCACATTTTTGCCCTTTCTACCATCTTGATTCCATGCTACCAATTTCTCAGGAAGAGCTGTTTTAAGTTCTCCGTTTTAAGTCCTAGTAGTTCACAAATGCTTCTTAGAACCTAATCACAAGACAGCTGAGTTACTCCTGCCCCTTGCTCAGACAGGGATTTAAGTAACTCTGATGAGAAGCATTCTGAAAAAAAACCGGGTATTAAAAAATTAATGTAACCAAATACTGAATTCAAAATCCAACAATTCATTGAAGTCATCCGTAAAGCAAATATTTGGAATGTGAATAAAGGAATGAAAGGATCTCCCATGGTCAGCATATCATTGGGCAGGAAGAAGGAAACACTACTTTCATAGTATTTAAAGCATTAACACTTGAGCCCTTCAAAAAATAATCCGCCTCTTTACATTTATCCTTTTTACAAAAATAAAAAAATCATCTTCACATTTCCTATCTACTACAGAGGATCAGATTTACCACCTCTTAGATAAAGACTCTTTGCTTTTATCTGTACTGTCAGAGACTTACTATTTTTAGGAATACAAAAAAAACAGTAAATGATCTCCCAAAATAATGTAATAGTGAAGGTGTCCAGACTGGGCTCCCCAGCACAAGACAGACATGGAACCCAGCAATGGGCCAGTAAGTTGCCTAGAAGGCTGAAGCATGTCTCTGACGAGGAAAGCCTGAGAAAGCTGCGACTAGAGAAGAGAAGGCTCAGAGGAGGATCTTCTCAGTGTGTAAAACTATCTTAAGAGAGAGTGTAAAGAAGACGGAGCCAGGCTCTTTTCGGTGGTGCCCAGTGCCAAGACCAGAAGCACTGGACACAAACTGAAACACAGAAGGTTCCACCTGAGCACCAGGAAACATTTTACTATGACTGAGCAGTGGAACAGGGTGCCCAGAGAGGTTGTGGAGTCTCCCTCCTCGGAGATGTTCAAAAGCCCTCTGGACATGGTCCTGAGCAGTTGGCTCTGTGGCCTTTCTTAAGCATTTGGGCTGGACAAGATGACCTCCAGAGATCCTTTCCAGCCTCAAGGGACTGTGACTATGATTTTTACCGTATGCACTTGACACTCTCTTCACAAAAGAATACAGGTTTGATGACCACTCAAGATTTCACGTGCACTGTGTTTTAGGATACCGAGAAACACGTGTGTGCTCATTCAGTTAGTAAAAGGTCAGCGTGCACACGAGCTTGAACAGATCCTTACAGTATTCACAGTCACAGCAGAATTTACAGAATTAGGAAAAGCAAAATAATACAGTCCACTCTATTACAGAGCTCTGTCTTCCCCCACGGGAACATTAAGTTGCACAGAATTGGCAGAATACAGAGAGACAAGCTTTGTTTTCTACACCATAGAACACACTCTGTCTTCCAGAATGCCTGACCCTGATTAAATACTGTCTTCAAATCGCCACAGCCCACTGTCCATTCTCACTGTAGCCCTGACGTCAACAAGAACCAATTCAAATTCTCATCAGACACTTAAATTTAAAAGACTGTGATGTTACATTTCACGGAAACCACAAACCACTTTGAAGGCACTGCCTCAGCTAGGGACTAAGGGCACAGGGAAAAATCTAAAGGAAATAACAAGCAGGTTTCTGCAGTGATGGGATAACATACAAAAAACCCTACGCTTCCTAACTCATAGTTGTGATTAAAATAGTCTAAATCTGAACCAAGTATTAAAGAACACAATACTATATTTCTGAATCTTCATAAGACAGTGGTGCCCCCCTCCATCAAGCTTAATTTTTTTATCAGAAAAGGCCAACTGTTTAAAATGACTGATTACACCCATGTGCCAAAATGTTTAGGTAATCGAAAATAAATGTTTTTTCAGAGGTTCTGAAAAAATTGCAGAAGTTCAGGGAAAAAAAAAAGCAACAGAAGTGACACAAGGGAACAGAAAGCACTAATCTAGTATATAACGGGTGTGAGTTAGAAAAGTGGGCACTCTATGGACTCTTCGTAGTCTGCAAAAGATGGTTACAAATCACTGATGTATTTTCTAAAGCGATATATACAATATATCTCTAAAGGGATCTGCATCTCCACCAGAAAACATTCAGAAAAGCACAAATGAAAAAGACTGAAAACGGCTTATCTAACAGATCTTCTCCCAACTATATAGTTATATTAATGGTACTGCAGTACCATAAAAAAAATGTATTCCATGAGTAATCCGATAACAGAATTTTAAAAAAAAAACCAGTGGTATAAGCTGGCTGTGCATATATCCCCACTAAGCAAACATCAAGATATGCATTAAATTTACATAGTTAAAAGGATTTTAAGGTAACTGATGCTAAATGAATGGTATGCTGCTTATAGTCATATTGTTGCTTTCAGTATTTAAGTACTTTTAAAGAAAAGCTCTCCACTGCTAACCACAGGCTAGTTGAAAGTCACAAATTAATGAGTTTGATCCAGTATCGATTTTTTTATTGTGGGATAACAGCACCATACTTCTTTCACACAGTTCTTTGTTTTTACTCATCTGGCTGTCTTGCAGCATGGAGACCATCAAGAGACCAGAATATATGAATATTACTAAGGGAGCATCTGAATGACAGATGTTTCTTTTGAATTGTCGGTATACTCTAAGTAACCAGTTCCAACCACATAATATTATGAACTAAAGGTTCAGAGAACTTTAAGGAGATACAACAAGCTGAGAAGCAGGACATGCAATGTGATGAAGAACAAGATCTCAGAAGAGACAATTTATTATTTCCTCTTTGTTACGGAAAACTGAGGGCTCTCCAAATCATTTCTGTTTTATTTCTGTAGGTGACCCTGATTAGGTTTTTACACAATCACATACCAACCCCACTAGGAAAGGTGAATCGAAAGGATACCCCATCATCAGGTCATGGCTAATAAGATAGTTAAAAGCATGCACCACATTTTCATTACACTTGGGAATGTTTGAGGCTGCTTTGACTTGTAACTTAGGCCTAAGGCTACATTTTGTCTAGAAGTTACAAGACAAGTAGTTTGCTCTGTCCTAAGCTAGTATCATCTAGCACTCACTGACACATCTATATCAAAGGTTCACCAGCATACCACGCAACATACCATTAGTGTCATCAGACTCCTCCTCATCTTTGGACTTCCTCTTAGAAGAGGGTCTATGCCTGAGTGTGTCTGGTGGGGCTAAGTGACGAAAGTATCCACTGGGCAAAAGATCATTCTCCTCCTCTTCATCCTCCTCCTCCTCTTCCTCCTCCTCAATCTCAAATGTCGGCTCTAATCTAGGCATTGGTCGCTCAGAGTCTGAGTCCTCAAAGGGTTCATCCAATACTTCTGTGGTCTCTGAGATTGTTTCAGTGACAACACTGCTGTTGTGGTGCTTACGCTTGCGGACTCGCCTCTTCCGATGAAGAATTGGTTTCTGAAAGTAGAAGGTGAGACACGAAAAGACATTTTATCATATGTAGTAGAAATAAAATACTGATAAACAGAAAACATGAAGAACAGAGCTCAATATTCTAAGCAGAACCAGAGAGCTCCTTTCTAGAATCCAGGCTTCACTAGAAGTACCGACCAGCACCTGTGTTCAGTTAGACAGATACCAAATACAAGGCAAGACAACTGACTTCCATGCAGACTGTAGACTGACATTCGTGTAATAGTATAAACCATTTAAATAGCTGAAGATAACAGCCCTTCCATAACAACTGAAAGTTCAGATACACTACAAGATAGATGTGAATAGTTTAGAATAAGCTGCAAAGATGATATAAAAGAAAAATTCTTAGTGCAGCATCCAAAAGAGAGACGATCTTCTTGGTCACTTTGATAGAATTCACATCTCCATGGTAAAACATTTCAAAGACCTTATGCTGTTATTTTAGTCATTTAGATAGCATTTGTGCTTTGCAAGCTTCTTTTAAAAGTAGGACAGGACCACACCTGTTTCTATTTTGAGTGACTGGCTAATAGCCAAGACAGAAAAATAAAAAAAAAAAGGAAGAAGTTAGAATTAAGAAAAAACCAACCAAACCTACCTTTGATTCAATAAAACCCACCGCTCCAAAAAGGTAGCGGAAAGTATCCTCCAGGCAGATTTCTGGAACACTGAGCAGATGCTATCTATACACTTAACATATACCTCATGAATCGCACAATCCTTCAGAAAGCACCAATATACTGACAAAACAGACTGCATGACATAGTCAAGGAGAACAAGGAATAGGGCACACACCTTTCGTTTTAATGTTGGCTTGGTGAGAACAGGTGGAGAGGTTGACCGAGGACTCACAGGCTCATCATCTTCCTCTTCACTACTCTCACTAAAACACCTCAGAAGTACCCTATCGCTATCACTGTAGCGGCGGGGTAATCTGTCACAGTCCTCTGGGAACCTACACTTCAGTGGCTCTGTGTTCTTTTTCAGCTGTCCTTTCCACCTTTCCATATCTTCACTGTACCGTCGACGGGGAATTGCAGATTTTTCCCCTTTGCCATACTGTCCCTGGGATACTGCAGATTTTTCCTCATCTTCAGCATACCGGCCTCTTGAGGCTGGAGACCTCCCCTCACATTCACCACATCTTCCTTGCAAGGCTGCCGACTTCTCCTCACAGTCACTGCACCGACCTCGTGGGGCTGCTGATTTCTCCTCGCATTCACTGCATCGCCCACTGGGAATTGCTGTTCCGTCCTCAATGGGCAATATTGGCTCTTTCTCACAATAGGGCTCCCGAAGTTTTTTGCCCTTGCGGTTCCATCGACCTCTTCGTGATGGCTGACTGTTTGCAGGAAGACTATCCAGGGGAAAAATGTGTTTGTTTGGCCTTGCAGAATTGGCTGGAGCAACAATGTCTGGCTTTTTTTCACTCTCTGTAGGTGAGTATGGCTCTTGCTCTTTCTTCTCCCATGACACAGATTTTACCATCTGTTTTAAATAAAAACAAATAGATTTCTCACTTTCTATTCAAGGATGCATGTCTCTTTTGAATTCCATTCCACAAAAGCTTTTGAAAAAGAACTCGAGAAGTTTAAGGAGAACGACTTTTAAGAATAACAAAAGAACCGTCCTTTTCAGGATTTGAATAGTGCTAACTGCTACTCCTTTCCTCCCAGGTGATTATGTACCTCAGCTGGCTTCCCAACAAGTGACCTCAGTAAGCAGCATATACCCAGGTGCCTGCTGGAATGCAAACATCATCTTGCTACATCCAAACACAGTATTTGTGTAATTTTCAAGAAAAAAAGTGAGAAAACCACGAAGCTATTTTCCCCTTAAAATGCACAATTAGTTTAATGCAAATATAGTAACAGCACATAATCTGCCTCTCAGTACTCTTAGTGCTCATCATCTGATGTGATAATGCGATCCTTCAAGGACAGCAGCCTGAGTTTCAGAAGCCTTCGCTGCTCTGTGGGCAGTAGTTCTAAAGCTATTAGTGGCTTTGCAAAAGTACACTGCAAAGACCTTGGGAGAAAGATGGTAAAGTTCTTGTTGATTCATTTCCATCTATGCCCAGAAAGGCTGGGTCCTTCAAATCTAAATCCATTTCAATACTTTGAAGAGAGACCAGGTTGCATGAGAGTGGGAGGCAGGCACGTTGTTTGCCTGGTTGTTGTTTTTTTTTTATTGTGGGTTTTTTTGTTATTGTTCTTCTGCATCCTCCACCCAACACTATAATTAAAGGCAGAAATAGCCTTTTTTACTCTTTTCAGAGATAGTCTTTAACCTTTCTCTAGACTGTACATCAATGTTTTTCCTATTTTTAGTTTCTAATCTGAAACTATAAATATACATAAACTAATCATGACTGTATTGTTTTTTATGATTATGCCAAATGCCTAAGCTTCCCATTTTAAATCTTGTTAGCATTGCCTGCAAAAGCACTGAGTGTAAATTATATACCACACAGAATTAACAGTTTCACTCTTACATTGGTCTCTGGATCTTTTTCTTTCTGCTGCTGTTGTTGCTCTTCATTTTCCCCATCCTCTGTCTCCTCTTCTTCATCTTCAGAGACAACTGAGTTGGAAACTATAACAGGTGTCCAACGCAGACATTCTGCATCCACATCTATAGGTCGGACATTATTTCTAACCTTTGCCATATGTTCTTGGATAAGTTTCTCCCGACGAATGATCACAAATCTAAACAGTAATAGTACTCTGATCAACAACAGACTACATACTGTACATGTCGCTATGTGAAACAGATACAAGTTATTACAGGAAAATCTGCACACTTTCAATCAGTGCTGCCACAAGTAACTAGAGAGGACAGAAAGCTCACTAAAATTGTACAATCTGCAGTACTCTCAGACTACCAGAGAAAGCATCTTAAAACTGAGAACATTCTTTCCACTTCTTGTTAATGATGAAGCCATTATTCTTCCATGGATACCGTGAATATGATTTTAGTACGTGTTAAATGGACAGGGGGTATGCCATTTGGGGAACAGGCAACATAAGCTGAAAGATACTGAATGGCAATAAAAGGACTGCTTAAAAAAAGTTACAGTCCCCCTACCAGAGTGGACTTTACTCAGGAGGCTGGGAGTAATATCACCATTTAAAGTATATTGTGAAATGAGGACAAAAAACTGTTCTCAAACTTTATGTTTCCCAAATAAGTTCCAAATTTAACATGAAACACAACAGAATACAACCCCATTCCTCAAACGGCTAAGGTCTGAACCAAGAGTAATTCTCAGGATTTCACTTGACTTGTACACTCAGCTGGGCAAGCACGCTACCTCTACTCTGCACCCACACCTCCTTTCTCTGAGTGATCTGTCAAGCATCCCATGTTAATCTACACAGCTAATGGCATTTTTGAGGCACAGAGAAAAGCAGGGAAACAATTACCTGCTCAGTGACTGCAAAAAGGAATAGATTTCCCTCTAGAGAAGGGAAGTTGCTGATCTTTGCTCTGTTTTATGAATATGTTAGACTGATTACACCGAGGGACTCGAAGCGAACATGGCCAAGAGACTAGCTTGGTTTCTCTCCTGGCTGCAAATTACTCAGAAGTTTCACAGCTGCAGAGCTACACAGCTGAAAACCACATCAGCTTTGGCACTGAACACGAGCACCATAAATCTCTACAGCCAGTATTTGGACACTTAAGTCTTAAATACAATCAAGCTTATTAGACGTGAGCTGTCTCCAAACATCATTAAATTTGAAATACACATGAAACTATTTGGAAACACAACTGGAATCCTGTACTCACTGATCACTACGGAAGTCAAGCATTCGTAGGTGATGCAGAGTGGAAGTGATATCTTGAGGGCAGATTCCAGTCAGCTTACTCAATTTTTTGATGCTTAACTGCTTGTCACGTTGATGATAAAGGCACTCCAATATTACACTTTTCCAATACGCCATATACGAGAGGCGCCCCAGGTCTGATAGAGGCTTCTCTGGTGATCCTGCTTGACCCTCACGCTTTGAAAGCAAATAGCCTGAAGATTTACAAGGGAAAAAGAATTAAAATCTAAAAGATTAGCATATAAAGCTTGTCTCCACCCCAACTTCTATAAAGGCATTTTTTCACAAAGTAGGTGAATGTTGCCTACAAGACATAGATTATAATTCGGAAGGATACACTAAGTGGTCCATCTGATTTCTTTTTGTTTCTTTAAATTCCTGTTATTCAACGCTAGAGTATGAGGTTTCTAAACTACACTGCGGTCAGACACTGGCTATGGGCAATGCCACGAGGTGGCAGCAGTTGCCTACCTATAAACTACACTAAGCCTGAAGTGCAGAGTCTGTTGCGCATCTTCCACTCACAATAGCAGTTTTGAAGATGACAGAAGGAAAACATATTATAGCCATTTAAAACTAGTATGGCAGATAACGTTCTTGAAAATCCTCTACTGTCAAACTTCAGGTCCATATTAGAGGGTACCAAGCTCTATTTGCACAGTCTTAATTAATATGAAACACAGGTTCAGCAAAGACCAAGAGGTTGTATCCTTGCCAGTATGACAAAGGATGGAGGTGGGAACCAGCTGACAAATGTGTCTTCTCTCTGCTGCTCTAATATAGCCCACATTTTTTGATTTCTCAAGATACATCACTGAACTTCTTTGTTTCATCAATATTTTTAAGAGAACAACTTATGTACACAAGGATATTTACCAGCAAAATCATTCTCATGTAATTATACCAGTAGTATTTTTCCTCTGGACATTAACTCCAAAATTAGCACGTCCATAGGGAGGGCTATATGAGATTATACTCAGCATAATAATATAGATACAGGGGCAAGTTTCCCCATGAGCTTGCTGAGATCCATGTATGAATCTGAGAATGGTCAGAGCCTAAGTATGTCTGGTTTTGTTGCGCTCAAAGCTACATTAAAACTGTGATTCTGTAATTCTACCAAAATCACTCTACTGACACATGCCTATAGTTTCCACCATAACTTGCTTACATGGGAAACATGGCAATTAGGAGGACCGCTATCAATTTGCCTTTAGAACTGAAGCCTTCCAACAGTAAGAATGAATTGTGAAGTTCAAATGATTTTGTGAGTTTTACAATCTCTTATCCTGAGACTTTTTTAATTTGCAAAATATCCTCTTCCACAGATAAGCCTTTCTTTAAAATGTAAAAAGACTGAAAAAAAAGTGAAGAAGAAGTTCCTTACTGAAGTCAATTAGGAACCTGCCATAGCCCTTACGCTGGTATTGTGGAAGAATCATTATACAGGAAACATTGTACTTCTGTTGGCAGTGTTTTTCCTGTAGGAAAAAAAGCAGCAGCAAATTTGAAAAAAGAAAGGAAGAGACAGAGAAACAGAAAGAAAAGTCCAGTGAGATATAGCAGTTGTTCTGTACAAGTCCTTAATTACATCTATAACAAAACAGTCAAAGTTTATCAGGAACAACTATGTGCATGACCCAAGGAAAGACGTTAGAAGATAAAGTAGTATTAAAGCTCTGTTACCATCATTTCAGTTCAGAAAACCAAAAAAGAATGAAAACTTGACATAACTACCACCTTCTTAGATCAATACAATAAAGAACATTTGCCGCATGGCAGATAAAGTTCAAAGCATAAATCTGAAAGCTGCTAAATTCACTGAAAAAGACTGCCGTATTCCAGTAAATCTTTAAACATTATAAACATAACATATTAAAATCTAATCTCAAATCAGCTGAAGACCAAAAAGGAAAGCTTCAATTACAGCTATGTAAAAATAAGTACGACAATTACAGACAGAAATCTCAAGAAAAGGTGTATCTGAATTCTTGGCCCTCTTTCATTAAAAAAAAAAAAGCTTTGAACTCAGGTGCAAAATTGCCAAACTTGTTTGGAAAACAATCTATTTACAGAAAGAAAGATGAGACAGAATGGCTTGGTAACAGTTTAGCTCACAAACAGTACTACCCACCATCACCACGAGCGGTGGTGGTCTATTTGAAGTTGCGATTTTTTAGCCACTTGCTGCAGTACAAGTTCCTTAGAGAACATATGCTATTCAAAATTATGAGGAAACTTGGTTTTTTAAGTTGCTGGTATCATACATAAAATCCAATTGCAACAGATGTCTGTACCTAGATTACATAATCATCTAAAATGCAAGGGCCTAAATTACAACAACTTAAAGACTGAAGCGGTATTTCTCACCATAGCAAGTGCAGTTCCAAGTCTGAAATACTCAAATACTTGCCTTAGAAAAGTAGCCAACAAGGTGACAGCCCTTGACATCATTCTGTGTCAGCACGTAGAAAAGAAATGGCTCCACATCATAATACAGAGTTTTATGGTCCAGGAAGAGTTTGGCTAACAAGCACAAATTCTGGCAGTAGATAGTGCTGACATTGCCATCAACCTTACAAAAATGAGGAGAAGTTTTGTCACTCCATGTGCTGTCATGCAAGGCAAAGCCTCTGGGTATCCCCGTAGTTTTGAAATGCCTAACATCAGAGAAGACTTCTCTGTATCAGGTAGCATCTCAAAGGACTTAAAACTTCCACAACATAAAGACTATGACCAAGTCACATTCATTATCTTAAGAGAGAACTTAAAATTCATTTTCCTAAAATGAAAAGGCATTTTTACAAAGCGAGCCTTCTCACACAGTTTTTACGGGTGATCTATATGTGAGGTCAGCTCCCACTGCTTGCTTGTAGGCCTTCACTCTTAGCAACTGAATGTTTCACGAGTGAAGATCTTTAGGACTATGGAAAACTTACGACATGATTTGGTGCTAAAGAATTTATTTTATAGGCAAAAGCAAGTGGGTTAGTTTCTAACTTACCTCAAAGACTGAAATATTGTTTTTTCTGTAAATTTCATTGGCTGGGGGATGAAACCAGCCACATTTTTTCATATGCTGTTGGAGAATAGTTCTGCTTTTCATATACTTTAGACAGAATTCACAAAGGTACAACTTGGGTAGCCTGTAAGAAAAGATAAAGAAAGATCAGAGACTGAAGATACAGACTTTTGCATAAAATTCTTCACACCTACAGATGCAGAACTTGATGAAAATGAACCCAGTATATACTGACACTGTGTATGTGCTAATGAGGCCAAAACCACAGCACGCACTTATTCTGAAATGAATGCATATTTAAAAAAAGAGTACTTAATATCCGGCACAATTACTTTTACTTTATTATGTCAGAAGAAACACACGTATCGATTCAAATCCTAGAAAAAACAGAAAAAAATACTCCCAGTTTTGCACTAGCTATGCGAAGATGTTCCTTTTCTTTCCATCTAGTGACATATTCCTGTAGCAGTTCGAATGCTCAGAGCATATGCAGGTTGCAAAGAGCTTATCAACTTTTTGACTCAGCCTGAAAATATCCTAGCATGTCTATTAACTATCATGAAAACTATCTGGATTTTGTGTACTTTGCTTCTGTCCTAAATTCAAACAGAATCTTCCTAAGATTTCTACACTGCTAGAGTACAGCTTTCCCACAAACCCTGAAGCAGAACCAAGGAGCACAATGTGCAGTCGTACCTTGAGTACTCCTGCGGATATGGAGAGGAGTACCAGGTCTGGATCTCGTATTTCCCAAATTCGATCACAGAGGGACATCGGACTTGTGGATCAGGAGGCCCAGTCACCCCTACTTTCTATGCAAGAGAGAAAAAAGGTTTCATGAATTTCCAAGTGGAAGACTTCTAAGATGAAGTAAATTAAAGCATTCTTATCTACGCAGTCCATCCTACTTGAACTTACAGAGAATGAGAAAGATGTAGATGTTGCTGACACTAAAGGCCAGTACCAGTCACACTACAAGAAGCATGTGATTCACAAAAAGGAAGAATTAGTAAGCACTGTCATACCACATGCCTCCACTATCTTTCATACTGTTGCATGTACTTTAAATACAAATTAGTACACAGTAAAAATTAAGACAATCTTTTTTCAGACCTGTTGCTATTTCCTTTTTTGTTTTTTTCAATAGCCATGAACAGAAACATATAAACTGCTCCTGAGGTTAAGATCTAGAATAGTCAAGTATCTAACACTACAATAATGTCTTCCTGGCTCCGACACTGAAAGTAATACTGTGAATGCAGGATCTACCAAAACAATATTCAGGGTACAGCATATAGACACACACAGCAATGTCCTATCCTGTTCTATAAGGAGTGAAGTATCTAGAAAAAGAATATTTTAATTAGCTAGAGCCCCTATGTGATTCATGCTGCTAGCAGAGTCCCATATTTTACTAACAGTCCACGTTTTACCAGCTATTTAATAGCCCTGTGTTTTGACACAACTAAAACCACAGCCCTCAAGGCTTTTTAGATGTCCACCTTAACCTCTTCTGCTAACTTTTCTGTTAACTTTTACATCACCCTTCAGCTCTCGAGGTCAGTGTTGCATCATTCTCGAGCAGCCGAAATCAAGTGCATTAGCTTCTACGACAGACCGACTCACCCGGAGGCTGTATTTCTTGTTGGTTTTTGTTACTGGGTTGGGCTGGGGTTTTAGGGTTTGTTTAAATTTCTTTATCAGATGTGGTACTTACTGCTAGATACTGAAAATTTAACTTTACCTGCAGTGCTTGTTCCTGAATATCTCTAAACAACTCCATGTCTTTTTCAGTTAAAACATCTTGGCTCCCAAAAAAACGCTCCTCATTTTCCTGTTTTCCATCCCAGCCATCCTGATTGTCTGTAAATCAGAAATAAAATTGTCTTCACCTACATTTACAGGAAAGTACTTGCTTTTTAGTGCAGTAACAAACACCTTCTGCCTCTATTCAGACACCACATCAAGTTTGGGGATTTTTTGAATGGGATTTTTCTATTCCAATTTGGGATGACGAAGGAAGCACACGTGGATTTGTGACCATGAAAGGTGCAAAACTCAACAATTCCATATTTATAGTATCGTGAAGGCGTTTTTTACAATGTTTGTATAAATGGCTTACCACTATGCCCATTTCTCAAAAACCAGGATCACGACAATTTAAATACTGTATCTGGTGCAACCAAAACCAGGACCACTTATGTTCATGACCCAGGAAACACCCCTTCCCCAAAAAAAGCAAACAAAACCCACAAGACACTTCACCTCACCCCCAAAGCATTAAGATACATTATTGTTCTTCCAGCACCAGAAAGGCTAATGCACATAACTCCTCTAAAGCTGTGAACTTTGTATGTTACTGTGGAGTATTTTCCACTGCTTGCTTAAGAACAATTCAAGCTATGAAACTATTCAACAAGGCTGTGAAGATCTGAATACAGAGATTAAATCAAGGTCCAGTCATAGATCCATGTCTTAAGCTAGAAAAGAAAACAGGGAAATCAGAACTGCATTCAAAAGGAGGGACGTTCTCAAGCAAGTAGCTGCGAAACTGCACAAAGCAGCCTCCTCTAAGGCTGAGAAAATTAAGAAACATTTGCATGCAAGACTGTACCCTAGATTGGAAACCCATGGGTCTGTCAGACTGGTTTTAATTATCTGTTTCCCACTTCTTACTTCTACCTTGCTGTTCTTATTTTCATTAACCACTCTCTACACTACTTCTTCCAAATACAACATTATTTAGCAATTTAGCTATTGCAATCCCTTCATTACAAAATGGCATTTTACTTCACACTAATCATTTAATCCCTTATCACACCTTGCCATCATATACAGAGAGGCAAAGGTCTCCAGGATTGTTTCTGCTTTCCAACCAGTATTCTGCCTCAAATCACCACAGGTAACTGCATTTGAGCATTAACTTTCAGCTCAAAGTTTCCAGCCTCTAAAAATTCTATTCATTTCAATATCCTAGCCCTCGAACATCTTGGTGTACAGGATACTTACATTGGCAGGGTGAAAAATCTTTACCTGTGGGCCATTCTGAAGTGCTAGATTTCCTGGTACCCTTTTTCCTGATCCTGTACTGCTGAGAATAGTCTACCACTTCCCCTCGAGCTTTTCGTCCATCAGGGGAAGGAGTGAAGAATTTAGTAAGGCCATCTATAAGCCCTTTGGTTTTCTTGTTAAACTTCAGAGTGGTGCTGCCATCTCCGCAGAAGTCCAAGACGTCAGTCTGCTCCAGGTATCCTCCTTCTGATGATGCTGACTGGCCGGACAGGGTGATCTTACGCTTCCGACCCCGACCAGGGCCAGTTCGGACTTTGCTGAAAGGGCCTTTTGATCTAAGGAATGAGAAGGGGAATGGTATGATCAGAAGACTTGGTAAGGTGGTTTGTTTTGGGATGCAAGGTGGACTACCATCTTCCGTACTTATTTATAAATTACACAGAAGCTAATTGTGAACTGAAAAATTTAGTTATAAAGGAGCAGTCAAGAGCCAGTGTACTCTCGAGAAGCCAGGATTCTAAATATCTCAGTGAAAGTACTGTACTACTTTTCTCCGCAGTGAACGTTATGTGCAATTAACTTGAGTATAAACAATAGATTTTCACCAAATTTAATAGAACATTGAATTTTTAAATTAGTAGCCAGAATGAATACATTGCACAGAAGGTTTCAATTTATGCACTCATTAAACACTTATACTTGCCAAAGTTACTGATAGGAAATTGTCATAACAACTACGCAGAAAGTTAATGCACATCGGACATGCACATTAGCTAAGAACCTACACCACTGATTGTCATCGTGGCAGAAAACAGTGTTGATCTCCAACCAGCTGCCATTCTTCACGCTGGAAATTTTAAAACTCTGTTGAGGTAACTTGAGTATTTAACACTTCTCAGAGGGACGGCCCTAGACAGACTGCTGTTTCAGGAAGCTGACTGGTTTTAGCTACAATACTAAATATGAAATAAAATTTAAGAGACAAAACTGCAACAGCAGAAAGCTAACCTGCATTTTGCCCCTCTGAATTACAGCAGGAGTTCCTCTAAGCAAAGGTATCATAAGATTGAAAAAAAATAGCATGTTTAAGACAGTCATTCCCTCTATGTTTTTATAAGTATTAAACTTAATAAGGTGCTTTTTTTGCAGAATGTCTTTTGGTGCTATTGGTTATAATCAAGTGGTAGTTCAGCATTTTTTTTTAAGCTGACTTGACGCTCAAACCAGAAGTTCTTGTGATACACTCCTTCATGGTTTTGTCCCCTCCACAGTCAGTAGTGCTACCTCACAACAAGCACTGCACAGCAATCTTAACTCAAGGAAATTGCTCTGGCTGAACAGCTATCCAAAGAATTCTTGACCCCCCAAATCTAACTGCCTGACGACCAGCTGCCCCACAACTACAACAAGGCCACACAATCCGTCCCAACACAATAGTGCTCCACAAGCACAGAAACACGTGTAATGGAATCAGAGAGGGGACAAATATTTGCTGGCAGCAGTTTAAGACTGAATATCATAGAATGGCCTAGGCTGGAAGGGACCTTAGAGATCATCTAGTCCAACCTCCCTGTCTTGGGCAGGACACCACCTCTCAACTAGATCAGGCAACACATGGGGACCGAGCGGGAATCAAACCCCCAACCTCAGTGCTGGTCCTTGTTGTCATCACCGTGCTCAAACCACTGAGCTAACCGGCCCCCTAATATGTTAAACATGTTAACTATGTTAAATATGTTAAACATATGAATATGTTAAACAACAACTTCATATGCCTTTTTGTAGATTATTTAGTGTCTCTAAACATCAGAAAGGGTTCTTGAGAAATGCAAAGCAAAACGATAATGCAGAAAGAAGCAACCATCCAGCAAAACAAACTTGACACCAACGGCAAAATTCATCTATGACTGTAGGAAATAGTTAAAAAAATAACTAGTAAGCTACTACAAGGAATCAAAAATGTAGGCAAAGAAGAAGCACTGACATTACTTGTAGTCTTTCACAGCACTTTTCAGAAATTCTGTATTAAAGAATAACTGAAAGCTTTTCATGGTAAAAGAAGTCTTCTCACAGAGTAGACTAGACACCTCAGAAATACATGATGTCCTACAGAATCTCACATTTTACTCATCCTTATAGAGATACTTACGTTGTATTTTGATTCTTTAATCTGTTTTTAGGACGTCCTATTGGGTTAGTATAGCGTCGTTTTATCTGTGCTGCCTTCTTGTGTAAAAGTTTTCTTCCTTTCTTCCGTGGCCGACAGATTTGACATATCCACATACCTATAAGACACAAGTCCTCATCACTGAATGTAAGGGACATCTATATAGGACAAAAAGGAGAATTACAGGTCCCAGGCCTTCTGAAGGAAAGTGTAGGAACACTACCAAAGGCTCCAATGATCACATATACACATAAGAAAAATTATGCATATGTTCCACTTCTAAACTCAAGTCCAGTTAATTTTCCACATGCCTCCCAGATACATTTCCCACAGCCATGCAGGAAGTCTCTTTAATTCAAGGCACATTATCAGAAAACCATAGAAAAGTCACACAATTAATTATTCCATATTCTGCTTATGACTATGGTAACCATCAACTACCTTTTATAGGAATATTTCTTTCTAACTACTGGAGAAAAATCTTCCATAGATAACCTGCTTTCTGATGGAGAAGAGCCAGGATTCTCTGCTGTTCAAATGCATATGACTTCAAAAACTCCTAAATCCATCTCTTTCTTTTGTACAAGCCTATTCATTCAGATGGAAGCTGATAATTTTAATCTGCAATCTCAAACTTCAAAGATTTTGTTTTTCAGAACCCTTCAGACATAGTAATGTACAGGAAGCAGGAGACATTGGCAAATCCCAATGCGAAGCTCTGACCCTTCTCTAGTTTATAATACCTGAAAAGCAGCTCTGTAAGAATAGGTTAAATGTACCTAACAGAGGAGAAAAATCTGAAATTTATGAAAGCAAATACGTGAAAGCACTTTCTGCCCACTGACCTCTTCCAGTACCATTTTAAATTAGGCTTTTCATGATGAAGTCCTCACCTTTTGGCATTCTTGTCAGAGGGGGGTCACAGCACTCCATGTGAAAGCCACGGTCACATGAGTCACAAAATAACATGTTATCCTGTTGAGGACAGATAAAGTTAATCTCTCTTTAGATATGCATCTGCGTCAACCCCTTCATTATTCTGTCATCATCTCGGACACCACGCACATAGTTTTCAACTACAGACATACAATGGTGTTTTACAGGTCTCAAAGATTACCAGACTGAAATGAAAGCTGCAAATATTTGACTCCAGAATGATTTTATTTTCTAGTTTAACAGAACATCCACAAGACTAGTACCTCTTCATTCAGAGCATATTCCACTGTACTCACAGCATTTTTTCCCTGATCTCGACAGGAACTGCATGTTTTGCACTCAATACACTGCCATCGCAAAGCTTTCACTCGAACTGTCAACTCTGGGGAGAACTTCAAACAGGACGGATGACCTAACAAAAAAAGGAGAAAATAGTACCAGTAAAACAATTCCACTGCTATTAATGGTCACAGATAGCTCACAGAGAGATTACTTTATTAATTATGTATTCCCATGCAAAATTTTGGTTATCCAGACACTCCTATTTGTAGGTGTTTCTATTCTCATCTACCTGTAACACAAAAACAATACCCTAGATAGCAAGCAGAAAGCCCATATAAAAAAGAACACAAAGATAATTTTTCATAACAGGATTGAGACACATGATAAAACTGATCACCATTACAACATCTTTAAGGAAACCTTCAGGAGCCAAATGAACTATTTGTGTTTGGGTAGCTTAACTGTCTCCTCTCTGGGAGCATGAGATTCAGAACTAATGGTATTATATGCCATAGATGAATACTCCCCATGTACATGGGTCAGCAGTCACTATAGCAGAGTTCTTTGCCTCAAGGAGTAAGCTTTTTACTAGATGCATACTCCTCACACGTACGGGGCAGTGGCAGTCACCATACCAAGCTCTTCTGTCTCAAGTGGACAGGTTATTACTAGCAGCACTGTAAATGGTCACCTACCACTGTTGCCACAGTCAGCACAAGAGATGAGCTCTTCAGGTTTCTTCTCCCGATTTTGCTCTTTTGTACCAAGGCAGAAACTGCAGATTGGAATTGGTTCAGCAACCGGCTGTGAGGAAAACAGACACCAAAAGCACTGAGTATATTAAGAGAGCAAATCCCAGAATCACAGAATGTTAGAGGCTGGAAGGAACCTCAAAAGATCATCTAGTCCAGTGTCAGAGCAGGATCACCTAAAGCAGGTCACATGGGAACACATCCAGGTGGGTTCTGAATGCCTCCAGAGAAGGAGATTTGACAACCTCTCTCAGCAGCCTGTTCCAGTGCTCTTTCACCCTCATGGTGAAAAAGTTCTTCCTTATGTTCAGGTGGAACCTCCTGTGCTCCAGCTTGCACCCACTACTCCTTGTCCTATCACTGGACATCACTGAGAAGAGCCTGGCTCCGTCCTCCCAACAGCCACCCTTTAGTTTGAATGAACTACAACGCAACCACAGATAAGATACGCAAACTTTTGGCACCATGTAAAGAACACATAAGCAGCATTTGGTAAATATGTTTTGCCCTTTTTTTTTTTTTAAGAAATCAAGGAGAACAGATTTACTACTTCTTAAGGAATCATACGCTACAGTGATGTAGTTTGAAAAATGGAATCCCCTGCAAAGCATTAAGTATAAAGTATAATATTTCTTCCCTTTGGTCAATGTCACAGCAGGCACCATGGAATGACAAATCATGTGAAAGAAGACAAGAAGATGGCAAGATTTTGCCAGCTGTGTTAGGTGTACATGAAGGACAGAATTAGGTGTACATGAAGGACAGAATTAACAAATTATTACTGGGCAAGTAAGAAAATCAAAGAGAAAAGAACAACCTATAAGAATGGGAAGGAAGACATGAGTGGCAAAAGGCTCATTGCAGGGAGACAATAAAATTGTAAATGATGCGAAAAAAGAATAAACATTTCCTACCTTTTTTTTTTTTCCTATTCGTATTAGTTTTTGTAAGAGCTGCCTTAAAATATCAAGTTGCTAAACTGTATACAGAGCACTTTGGAATAGTTTTTGCAGAGCAGAATAAGACTGATGGCAATTTTACTCATTTTGGCGCAGAAAAGCCAGAAGCAACGAATGGTGATACCACCCGCTATGTCATATACGAACACGCAAGTGACATATCAATGAATATAATTTCTGAAAGTAATCTGCCTGAAGGTCTGACAGACATCCAAGCTCAGAGCAGACTGCAGATGACTATGCCCCTCTGAGCAATATTTAGAGCTACCACCTTTCTCCTGATGGCAAAAACCACTAACGCCACCACATCCCAAAAAGGGCTCCAGCAAAATGAATTCAACAGTGCAGGCTACATTACCAGCATCACTGAATGTTGCTGAGAGCACCACTTTGACTTTTTGGTCTGAGAGACTACAATAATTTTTCTTCCCAGGAGGAAATCATATGCTTTGACCCATTATTTCTTTTTATCTGCCTCAAACCTCCCCCTCCCCTTTTTTTTTTTTGGTGGTACAATACCCTGTAAGAAACTGCCATGGCTCTTGGAAATCAAAACCTGGAGTTAAACCACTTATATATTCTGACACACTTTAAAAAAGTCTAGTACATTAAATGAAGCAGTTTGCCTCGGGGCG